GCGTGTCACACTCGGTATCGACCCTGTGCCACGGGCAAACAGCGGTGCCACGTGCCATACTCGGTATCGCAGCTGTGCCACGTGATGGCCAAAGAGCGGAGAGAGACGGAGAGAGAACGGAGAGATGCCTACGGGCAGGCGTGCCACACTCGGTATCGACCCTGTGTCACGGGCAAACAGCGGTGCCACGTGCCATACTCGGTATCGCAGCTGTGCCACGTGATGGCCAAAGAGCGGAGAGAGACGGAGAGAGAACGGAGAGATGCCTACGGGCAGGCGTGCCACACTCGGTATCGACCCTGTGCCACGGGCAAACAGCGGTGCCACGTGCCATACTCGGTATCGCAGCTGTGCCACGTGATAGCCAAAGAGCGGAGAGAGACGGAGAGAGAACGGAGAGATGCCTACGGGCAGGCGTGCCACACTCGGTATCGACCCTGTGCCACGGGCAAACAGCGGTGCCACGTGCCATATATCGCAGCTGTACCACGTGATGGCCAAAGACCGGAGACAGAGAAAGAGAGAGAAAGAGGGAAAGAGAGAGAGAGAGAGAGAGAGAGAGAGAGAGAGAGAGAGAGCATGAAATAAGCTGATCTAGTGACCTTATTTAACGTTACCTAGGATCACCCTTCGTTGTGCAGAAATAAGCGATTTCGTACATAACAGCCAGATAAACCTAAAACGCGTCGGCGTCCTTCATTTCCGGCCGTCATATTGTTCAGTTCTGTGGTTATGACGGTTGGTGCGGTGGTGTTCTGGCACGGTGCGTTATGAAGGCCTCGGATTGGGATATTTCGAAGGTACGTTATCTTGTATGATATTCATATGACAATGGTCGACATTTTCTTTTTTTATATTATCCTAAGCATATATGTTGAAGCATAAATTCACTTCTTGACCGTTTTGGGTCAATGTTTCGTCTGGATTCCGACCATTGGAAAACAGGCTGTCTTTCCGCTGCTGTCAAGCGTTTTTTTTTTTGCGAAATATGTAAGCTGCACCTTTCATCTCACATTGATTTATCCTATGATGAAAAAATCAGTTGCTGTGGATAATATAAGCCATCCCCACTGATATGCTTAACATCAACAGTTAATTTTCTTTTCTGTTCGCAGAGTTGGTTCAAGTTGTTGGAAACTGAGTCATAAAGGTACCGGAAGCCAGCGATATGTCCGTTGGTAAGCCTGGCCCAGAAAGAATAATTGCGTGAATCTGCAAAGCATGGAAAATATTTGGCAAACAGCACAGTCTACAATGTAGGTACCTACATGGCAGGATCACCGTGCTCACTCGCCTGCTGTTTAGTGCCGTTTCGTCGCGGAACCCGTGGAGGTGCCGGATTTGTGCCTCATGCAACCGTACTATTCTGTTACGTTATTAATGGTACCTCGAATCAGCTTCTGCACCAAAACCTGGAGTATATGATCTTCTTGTATCGTATGCTAATAAACGTAATTTGTTGTTTTGTTGTTGTTTTTGGTAACGTGGCTGGTACGTGCTGTCGTTGGCCGGGTCCTCCACCAGCCGGAGGGGCGGCTGGGGAGGGGAGGGAGAGGGGGCGACGCGATTGAGCTAGTATTACTACTGGGCAGCAGTAGCAGGCATTAGTTGGCTGGGTTACCAGGCGAGTCCTGGTAACAGCCCTAATCGGCGTACCATATGCTATAATAGTTTCGTGCTCGTTTTCAAAAGAGGCACCGAATATTGAAACGAGGGACTGACAAGGATATGCTTAGTTAATGAGGCGTGGGCTGGTCAATTTCTAAAGAAACAGGCTTGTTTATCCGCGACAACCTAAAAATCAGTCAAACTACACCAAGAGTCGCCGCTTTCGTTGAAAACGTCCGATCAGCTGATCCTGATGGTGGCGCGCTTGGGAAAAGTGATGTGCAGTTCACATTTAATTCCTCTTTCAAAATAAGCACTCTGCGTGTTGCGATTACAATGACACGTCAAACTTTGCGCGGATTTCTAGCTGAACTTGAATCGTGGCCGTTTTGGTGCACCAACGCTCTCTGATGGAGTGGCTGGAAGCTGAGGCGAAAGTGTTTGGATGTTTACTAAAATCATCAATGAATTTGAAGACTAAAAATGAAAATCAACAATGCTGATATGTTTAATGACAAATGCGTCCGAGGTTTGTCAAACGAGCGTGCTCACGTGCCAGTCGCCGCCGTCGCAGTACTATTGTCGGATACAACTATGCATAGCTCATGCTATGGCATTGGTTGAGAGGTGCTATTGAAGCCTTTCAATGAAAATGTTTGAAATGTCTTGAAATTTCTATGAAATGTTTGAGGGTAAGAAAGCAATCAGCGTGAAGAGGAGCTACCTTGATATGCATACATAGATGTATTAGGACTAAAAAAAAAAAACTTGGAAATCGACGTCAAACAGCTGCGAAAACCACCTATTGGTTGATGGTTGAAATCTACGAAGCCCACCCCTTGCTTAGAATATTTTACGACTTTTACACATGTTGGCGTATCTGCGAAACTATATGCGCATTTCGCCATTTTTCTTAAATCGTCTAAACTACTTTTTATTAAATCGTAACTTTTATGTAACAGAAACTTTAAACCCCCAAAATAAAGTCACATGCTGTTGTAAATTCCGCACTCGCCATAAACTTTTTTCAGACCTTTATGAAACAGAGTGACATAGAAAAAGTATGATTCTAACACAATTCGTAAATAATCGGGTGCCGTAAGTTTTATGCAACAGTGCTCAGGTGAGCTTATTTTGCAGCATTATTTTCCGTTGTAGAAAAACGGGCTCTTGAAGATGCATTGCCATTGTAATATTTATTTCTACATTACCTTTAAGTTTGCTGATATCTATAGATTACATCTATTTTGACGTTCCACAATAAAACCGAAATTCAAAGCACTTCAAGGGCGGGCAGCGTGGTGCATGGATGCAGCCTAAGCAAAGCCAAGAGACCTACATATATCCGCACACTAAACCTGCAACCATGTTTCCTCCATCCGGCTCCTCGTGCCGCTGCCTGGATTATTAGGCGTTGCCTAATATACCAAGAGATGGAAAATACCTTTTTAGCATGAATATCGAATAATATCAATCTTGGTCCGAGGTAGATGCTGGTAATTGATATAGGTACTGTGTGTCCACTTGACCTCACACTTCACCTACCTAACTTACCTACCGTTTCACAACACGCCACGTTCGTTGAGCTTGCCTCTCTTATCCTGCCATCTGCCCCCATTATGCATCTGTATCCCGTGCCTAGTGCTCCGAACCATTGTGAGTTGTGACATCGATGCTTAACCCGCGCCCCGTAGGGCTACCGGCGGACCCTACCACTCGTAGGGGGGGGGGGGCGTTTCGGCCCCCCCTAAGATCTCGGAAATTTACCGGCCGATTTTCAAAATTCAAACGGCGTTCGATAGCACCACCAGGGAACTACCTTGCGACCGAATTTCATTAACCTAGGTCAAACCGATGACGTCACAGGTCAGGTCAAAGGTCAGATTTTCACCGTTCACAGGCATTTCAAGACATGTGTTGTGAAATCGAGTAAATTGGTTACTTATTGAAATCCATCGATGGTACATGGTTTGTCAAACACATACTTCGCTATCTGAGGTCACTGATACCAGGTCAGGTCACAGAGGTCAGGTCACTGGGGGTCACAATATGAAAGTGTCGTGTGATACATGTTTTATGGTCCATTTTACATGACAAATGCGATTATGTGGGTCAGGCAGCCTTTGGGGTCAGTTTAGATCATGTTCCGATGAATGTCAGGTCAAGGTCAGATCAAGGTCAGGTCAAATTAGGTCAAATTTCAAAGTTGATATTTTTGCATAAAGTGGGTACCCATTCGATGCAGCTCGTCACGGGGAGTCCAATGGTGGTCTTTGTTTTGACCTACGTGGTCTAGAATTGCCAAAAAATGAGTTTGAAAATTTGACGTCATCATTTTTGAACAGTTTGTTCGCTATAACTTGACCAAAAAAGGAGATATCGATCTGAAATTTGTTATGTAGATAGAAGATGGTGGGTACTATCACATATATTCCGGTTTTTTCGAAACTCAAAAAACTTTTGGATTTTTTGGCTAATATATCAAAAAAATTGAATTTTTAATTTTTGGGGGAAAAACTCAAAACTTTTAAAAATCCGAGATAACAGTTTTGTAGCCCTGTCAATTCTACACCTTTTATGTCTTAATTATTTTTCTGTATCTTCAAAGCTGTAGGCTTGACAGCTGCTCTCGCGAAGGTCTTTTTTCGGTCGAAAATGGCAGAACATGACGTCATTCTGACGTCATTTGTGGCCAACCTAGCATAGCCTCTGGTAAAATTTTTGGTCACAATGTGTAAAATTGATGCTCGGAGGGGTCTTGAAAGTTTGGTGGCAATATCTCCAGCCGTTTAGGAGCTATCGATGGAAAAGGACAGGGGGCCATTTCGGCCCCCCCCCCCTACGGGGCGCGGGTTGTTGCAAACAGCAAATCGATGACGTATATTATTTTGATTGATTCCATCATCAACAACAATGAAGTCGAGCGAAAACCTACTTGAGCGACCAATCTGATATAAAGAACATTTCTATAGAAGGTTAGGCACTTAGGCATGTTCTGCACCCGTACATCCTTGAATATTATTGTAAAAAGAATGCATAGTAGCTGCCTTGGGACAACTTGTGCATATTTCCCTGGCCGTCACCGGTATGGCGTCATCAATGGTTGCCAACAGAATATTCGGCCAGAATACGACATAACGGATTGTGGTTATTTCGGTCGGTTTGTACGTCAATTTCGCGCAAGGTATAGAACAAACCATGGATAAACCGCGTTTTGTGGTTCGTGACAGCGGCAATGGTGGTGTGCTTTTCCTTCGGCAAAAACTGTAAGTATGGACAGATGTTTTAGAGAATTATATAATCATAAGTGAATTACAAGATAATTATTTTATAAGTGAATTATAAGTGAAGTCAGACTGGAAACACGCGTATAGTGTGAGATGACATACACCGCTTGCAATTCCGGCAAAATATGGTCTCGAAATATAAGTCACATTTCAAAAGTCATTTTGGGTTTCCTACACGAAAAATGCCATCTATTTAGAACATGATACCTGAAATCACGCGCTCCTATATTTTGAAGAAATTAAATATCCCGTTTCGGCAAAAACCTTCCAAACCTTGCATGTCATATCTGAAAGGGCTAACAGATCCTTTTCATTTTGCATCATATATGGTAAATGGTTGAACTATGACAAGTAAATACTTTTATGTTTTAAAATGATAAGCATTAACTATGCTGTGAGATAATACATTATCCTTTAATATTAACGTTTAAGATATAACAATGTATAAATCAATTGTAACTTGCAAATACGTTGACAGGTACTTGGACCGTTGGACGACGTCCAACCGTTGAACGACTCAGCTAACGGTAAGTAGAAACATTATATTTTGAAGAAATTTAATATCCCGTTTCGGCAAAAACCTTCCAAACCTTGCATGTCATATCTGAAAGGGCTAACAGATCCTTTTCATTTTACATCATATATGGTAAATGGTTGAACTATGACAAGTAAATACTTTTATGTTTTAAAATGATAAGCATTAACTATGCTGTGAGATAATACATTATCCTTTAATATTAACGTTTAAGATATAACAATGAATAAATCAATTGTAACTTGCAAATACGTTGACAGGTACTTGGCCCGTTGGACGACGGATTAAGGACGACGTCCAACCGTTGGACGACTCAGCCAACGGTAAGTAGAAACATTATATTTTGAAGAAATTAAATATCCCGTTTCGACAAAAAACCTTCCAAACCTTGCATGTCATATCTGAAAGGGCTAACAGATCCTTTTCATTTTGCATCATATATGGTAAATGGTTGAACTATGACAAGTAAATACTTTTATGTTTAAAAATGATAAGCATTAACTATGCTGTGAGATAATACATTATCCTTTAATATTAACGTCTAAGATATAATAACGTATAAATCAATTGTAACTTGCAAATACGTTGACAGGTACTTGGACCGTTGGACGACGGATTGAGGACGACGTCCAACCGTTGGACGACTCAGCCAACGGTAAGTAGAAACATTATATTTTGAAGAAATTAAATATCCCGTTTCGACAAAAACCTTCCAAACCTTGCATGTCACATCTGAAAGGGCTAACAGATCCTTTTCATTCTACATCATATATGGTAAATGGTTGAACTATGACAAGTAAATACTTTTATGTTTTAAAATGATAAGCATTAACTATGCTGTGAGATAATACATTATCCTTTAATATTAACGTCTAAGATATAACAACGTATAAATCAATTGTAACTTGCAAATACGTTGACAGGTACTTGGTCCGTTGGACGACAGATTGTGGACGACGTCCAACCGTTGGACGACTCAGCCAACGGTAAGTAGAAACATTATTTTACCTTACTCTGAAGTTTTACCTCGCATCATTTTTATTCGTCGCAAAAAACTGCATCGGTTAGACACCGCATTGTGTCCTAACAAATAACATGAAAACTTTACCTAAGTCGATGTGAACCTAGACCTGAGTTTCGCTAAATATTGTACATTTCCCTAACTGTGTATTCTCAATATTTTTTTGGAACAAAATCGCCCATTAAACATGCTTCGCACATATCGTATTCTACTGTTCGTCTTTCGTGTCTCGACTTGACCTTCACCCTCGCCCCGTTGGGGAAGGGGGCAATTTGGCCCTCCCTGTGGTTTTTCCTAAATAGCAAGAAAACGACGGCGCGCAGCGCCGCCAAATTTTAAGTACTTTCCCGGGCATCAATTTGACACCTTCACACAAAATTTCAAGTCTTAGGTCACCTTAGGTCAGGAGTTATTGAAGTCAAACTGAGGTCATGTTCCAGCAAAAATGAGCAAAAAACATGCAATCTTGAAACGCTCACCAAATCTACAGTTACCAAGCAATTTCAAAGTTCTTTATATGGTCATGTAGACAAAAAGCATCGCTACAAAACTGTTATCACGGATTTCCAAACTTTTGGGTTTTTGAACCCAAAAAATTCAATAAATTGTTTTTTTAGAAAACTAAAAAACCAAAGAAATCCGAATTTCGAAAAAAAACGGAATATATTTGATAGTCCCTGCGCTCTTCTATATACATATCAAATTTCAGATCGATATCTCGTTTTTGGGCCAAGTTATAGCGAAAAGCTGTTCAAAAATGATGACGTCAAATTTTTTAACTCAATTTTTAGCGCTTCTAGACCACTTAGGGCAAAACAAAGACCACCATTGAACTCTTCCCGTGACGAGCTGCATCAAATCGCTACCCATTTTATGCAAAAATATCAACTTCAAAAATTTCACCTAATATAACCTGACCTTGACCTGACCTTCACCAGAACATAATAATCTAAACTGACCTCCAAGGCTGCCTGACCCACATAATCGTATTTGGCATATAAAATGGATCATAATACACGCATCACATGATATTTTCATATTGTGACCCTCAGTGACCTGACCTCTGTGACCTGACCTGGTATCAGTTACCTCAAATAGCAAAATATGTATTTGAAAAACATTTCCACATCGATGATTTTCAATGAAATGCATTTTACTCGATTTTACAACGCATTTCTTCAAATGCCTGTAAACGGTGAAAATTCGACTTTTGACCTGACCTGTGACGTCATCGGTTTGACCTAGGTCAATACAATTGGGACACAAGGTAGTTCCCTGATGGGGCTATCCGACACCGTTTGCCGCTTGTCGCTAGGTTGCATGGTTCTCGAGATCTTAGGGGGGGGGCAAATTGCCCCCCCCCCCAACATAGCGCGTTGCTCGGCAGAGCCCAACGGGGCGCGGTTTAACGTTGATGCCAACTTGAAACATTCTTGCAACGTTACTGTATGTAAGTTTTAGGAATTATCCAAAGCCTTGCACATTGCTCTAGATCAAGGTGCTTTTTAAATACGTTGCATCGTACTATTGCCGTTCATAATGCGACATAACTCCGGGACAAACAATCACAGCCGTGTTTAACTTGCACTTATATTTACAGGTCTCTGCCTCGGAGTCGGGATCCTTCTAGAGTCAGGAAGGACGAACCCGCCCTGAAAGACGCACAAAACATGAGGCCAATGGTAAGTATTAAGTATAAACATAGCTTAAGTTTACTCTGAAATTATAGTTCGGTACTGTGCACACTGCACAGATGTATGATAGCACAAATCAGTCGAATGTCTCCAAACTACAGAATACTATTCAACTTCGCTGCAAGGGTGGTTTCAGGCCGTAGACCATATGGCCATGTTAGTAGACTCTTAATTGTGAATCGGGCTATCCACCCACCCGTTTTGTAAGATATTTCGATATCAGTTTGATCCATGGTATTATCACAGCCGGTAGACCTCGTAAGCTTCGCTCATCGCTGGCGTTTAACCTCGAGAGAGCTGCCAACGACACCAGACAGTCAACTCAACTCCGTTTACCCCGTGTAAAAGTAAACTATGGAAAAAGGCAATTAATGTACCGTGCAGTTCAAAAGTACAAGAAATTTAGCATTTCAAAGGGGTTGTCTAGTACATCCAGGCGAACGGTGCACAACAGCACACATATTTCGATTCAGGCAGTTGCAGGGTGATAGGCACAAATGTTGTGGTTTGCAAGACTTCCGTGGGATGTGTTTTATGCTTTATCTTATCTAGGATCTATCTAATGTGCCTCGACTGAAAAGCCATTACTCGAGTGGATGTCGTTGTATATTAATTATAACAATAAACAAATAAGATTTTTCCTAAATATTCATTGCGCACATTTCAGCCAAAACACATGCCGGGTCAGGTCAGGTCAGGTCACCGGAGCGGGTTTGTTGACACCACATCATAAAAGTTTGCAATCACGTCAGAGCTGGAGTTTTTCACGGAGCAATTTCCTCTCTTCAGGTCCTCATCACAGTACCAGTATGTGTAATTTGTATACCTCAGAATTTGTATATCTGTGACCTGAGGTCAGGTCAGAGTCGTGATCTTTACATTACAAGCCTATGGGAAAATATTGAAATGTTTTCTGTTTCGAGCAAACGAGTCAAAGCCCTCCAATTCTTTCAGGATTATGACACATTATCTCATCTGCAATGACCTCAATGTACTGACAAGGGCACCGGGAAGGGTCATCTGAGGTCATGTTTAATAGTTGTAGCCAATAAAACACGATATGACGGTGCTAATGACTTGTAAATGGTATCCAACTGTTTGCCTGGTCATGACGCATTGATTGGTACCCAGCGTGACCTTCCTAGTTCAAATTTTGAAGTTAACCTATCAAGGTCATGCAAGTAACTGTTTCAAACATGAAACATCTCATTTTTGATGACCTCTGGTGACCTCAATATTGATCTGACTCAAAACAAGTTTGATAAAAAAGTTGTAAGTCTTTCAACGAACTATCTAACGCCGTTTACCGTTCGAAGCTCCGATTCGTGGTTCTCGAGATCTGAGGGGGGGGGGCAAACTTGGCTCTCGAGGTCAACAAATTTGTTTGGATGCGGATTTACGAGATAATTGCGACGATACTTTTAGTTTAAGTCTAGCTAGAGCCCCTTATGAATTATGGAGAGCCGCAGATTGCAAAGCCAAATAGCTCTGCTATCGGGGTAATATTCGGCAGCTTTGCAGACCTTGCAAAGCCGTATTTTTTTGTCCGTTGAAAAAAATACGGTTTTTAAAATAAAAAATACGATTTTTTCGACTTCGACAATCGACTCCGACTCTGCTCCAAATCCACTTCCGACTCCGGACATTGAGCAGTCTTATGTAGTCTTAGCAGTCCATAAAATGACAGCCAAGTTTATATCAGAGATCTTTTAATCTCTCCTGAAACCACCCTTTCCGTCCTCCAAGGCCCTGCAGTGCGAATATACTTTTTAACCATCGCCCGTCCGGCCAGTTCATGCAACCCCCCCCCCCTTCCCTACAGTTTTCCGAGTACTCCTTCCCTACGCAGTATTTCTTGTTGACTATCAGGCCTTGGAAGACACAGTTAATGAAGACGGGAACTGTCAAAGAACGGGATCATTATGAGCCTCTCAGTGCACCTTATTTGCCTGGCTTCCTTACGTCTTGGGGAGTCAGTGCGCTTCCGTGGAACTCTCTCTCTCTCTAGGTCTCTGAATCGTAACAAAAATAAATCCAGCTCTGGTCACAGGTCACTAAAGAGTCAATTCTAAATGTTTCTAGGACATTTTTACCGGGGATGCTGAGTCTAGATTTTTCGGTGACTCCGACTCCGACTCCGACTTCAAAAATCGACTCCGACTCCAGCTCCGACTCCACATCCGCCTCCGACTTCGGACATATCTCTTTAGGTGGCCACATAATGAAAGTAAAGTTCATGTAGCAGATTCTTTGTCTTACCTGAATCGGCCATTTGAGCGTTCCAAGGCCTTTCATTGCAAATTTACTTTTAAATAGCTTGCAGATAGGTTTTGGCGCAGACACCTGCTTTTTTCAATCGGTTTTTTCATCTCCTTTTTTCAATGACAACGCTCGTCCAAAACAGCTGTATGGCCTTAGCTTCGAGATAATCAAATTTTGAAAGGTCATTGAGCATAATATTAGCCGTTTTCACGACGGGCTATCCGGCGAATGCACCTAATTTACACCAAATCTGCACCTTATCTCTTGTAGAGCAAATATCTTCATGTAATGAAATTATTTTGGTATTTTAATCGATGATAATGTCTCATAGTTTGACAAAGCAGGCATATAAGCAATTAGTCCAACCCTAGCTGATAGCTACTAATAAACACATTGAACCCAATTTCACCAAATCTGCATCTAATCTGCACCAAACGTGCAACAAATGTGTGCCAGATGGCCGTCGTGAAAACGGCTATTATCAAGTAAACAGGTTTATTTTCACATTCTCTTCTCCTTCGTTTCAGGTGCAGTATGAAAATGATAAGCATCTGGCTAATAATCTTCATCACCATTATTTTCGCGATCAGAAGAACCCCTGAGGCACTTTTGGCGCGCCCCGTCATTTAAGGGACGATTAAGGGATAAGGGATATGAGGCACGTGTGAAGTTAGTGGTGGTGCGGCTAGATATCGACCCGGGGAATCGCCTGGGACCATTCTTTTCGCGATCGGAAGAACCCCTGAGGCACTTTTGGCGCGCCCCGTCATTTAAGGGACGATTAAGGGATGAGGGATATGAGGCACGTGTGAAGTTAGTGGTGGTGCGGCTAGATATCGACCCGGGGAATCGCCTGGGACCATTCTTTTCGCGATCGGAAGAACCCCTGAGGCACTTTTGGCGCGCCCCGTCATTTAAGGGACGATTAAGGGATGAGGGATATGAGGCACGTGTGAAGTTAGTGGTGGTGCGGCTAGATATCGACCCGGGGAATCGCCTGGGACCATTATTTTCGCGATCAGAAGAACCCCTGAGGCACTTTTGGCGCGCCCCGTCGTTTAAGGGACGATTAAGGGATGAGGGATGTGAGGCACGTGTGAAGTTAGTGGTGGTGCGGCTAGATATCGACCCGGGGAATTGCCTGGGACCATTATTTTCGCGATCGGAAGAACCCCTGAGGCACTTTTGGCGCGCCCCGTCATTTAAGGGACGATTAAGGGATGAGGGATGTGAGGCACGTGTGAAGTTAGTGGTGGTGCGGCTAGATATCGACCCGGGGAATCGCCTGGGACCATTATTTTCGCGATCAGAAGAACCCCTGAGGCACTTTTGACGCGCCCCGTCGTTTAAGGGACGATTAAGGGATGAGGGATGTGAGGCACGTGTGAAGTTAGTGGTGGTGCGGCTAGATATCGACCCGGGGAATTGCCTGGGACCATTATTTTCGCGATCGGAAGAACCCCTGAGGCACTTTTGGCGCGCCCCGTCATTTAAGGGACGATTAAGGGATAAGGGATATGAGGCACGTGTGAAGTTAGTGGTGGTGCGGCTAGATATCGACCCGGGGAATCGCCTGGGACCATTATTTTCGCGATCAGAAGAACCCCTGAGGCACTTTTGGCGCGCCCCGTCGTTTAAGGGACGATTAAGGGATGAGGGATGTGAGGCACGTGTGAAGTTAGTGGTGGTGCGGCTAGATATCGACCCGGGGAATTGCCTGGGACCATTATTTTCGCGATCGGAAGAACCCCTGAGGCACTTTTGGCGCGCCCCGTCATTTAAGGGACGATTAAGGGATAAGGGATATGAGGCACGTGTGAAGTTAGTGGTGGTGCGGCTAGATATCGACCCGGGGAATCGCCTGGGACCATTATTTTCGTGATCGGAAGAGCCCCTGAGGCACTTTTGGCGCGCCCCGTCGTTTAAGGGACGATTAAGGGATAAGGGATATGAGGCACGTGTGAAGTTAGTGGTGGTGCGGCTAGATATCGACCCGGGGAATCGCCTGGGACCATTATTTTCGCGATCAGAAGAACCCCTGAGGCACTTTTTGCGCGCCCCGTCATTTAAGGGACGATTAAGGGATGAGGGATATGAGGCACGTGTGAAGTTAGTGGTGGTGCGGCTAGATATCGACCCGGGGAATCGCCTGGGACCATTATTTTCGCGATCAGAAGAACCCCTGAGGCACTTTTTGCGCGCCCCGTCATTTAAGGGACGATTAAGGGATAAGGGATACCTGCTAGGGCAAAATTAATGTCATATTCGTGCTCCCCGTCCCCGAATTGACCAGATATGACGTTTTCAAGTGATTCGGTACTCGACGCTGAATACGAATCCGAATCCGACGCCAACTTCACGCACATCGGTAAATGAGTTTTTGTGCCTACATACATAATATGATTCCTCAAAGGACATTCGATGTAGCTATCGGGATGATCTTCACATCGGGGCAATGCTCTCAGTGCTGTACATAGATACTATAATATCTTGTGGACAGTGGAATAATTCACATTTCCCGCAAAAATAACCCCAAGCTGTTCACCGTCATTGATGGTTAGTGTTACCTTGTCTCGCGATAACTGCCAAATCACTATTAATTACATGCTACCAAGTACCAGACTTGTTTGAAAAACCCGTTTTCACGTGATGCAACCGTACCATCTTGACCATAAGCTTGTGTTTTGTGTCGTATCGTATATGTATGCGTACTTTAGTCACATATTGTAGCGTCATTTGTGCCGCTTGTCATAATATACACATCTTCTAGCAATGCTCTGTTCAGCGTTATCGAAAGCCGATTGCTACCAATTATGCCGCGTCTTAGATACTGGAGCTAATCGCAATGCATTTCGGATGCAATGCCAATGGCGGATTGTAATGGTAGCGAGACTTCACAGCAGCACTAGAACACAGTCGGACGGACGTCGGAAGGACGCACACGATGCGATCCAGTGCCCTCGGCCCAGCACCGTTCAGTTCGGCACGGACCTGACTGGGTGTGGCTCTGTCCAAATACACACAGGGTGCGGTAGCGGCCCGGGCAGGCCGGGACGGCTCGGCCCGTGCTCTGATTCTTCAGACACCCCGGTCGGGAACGGCGTGGTCCGCCGGTGTTCGGTCTGAGGCGGACCTTTCGCCCGGCCTCCTGATTTTTATCTGAAGAGCCCAGGTTTGCTAAGGGTTGGATTGACTTCCGTTTCAGTCCTTTTGAGTAGATAGCTGTTCATAGGGTTCAGGCTGGCCTGTCGTGGTCCAGGCAGGCACTCTTGTTCGCATTGAGTCGTGCCACAGAGTCTGATCGTGATGGGTGTCAGCCGGAGCACATGGTTCGTTATGGTTTGATTGAAGGCGAAGTACTTTTTTCACATCCGCGTCACTGATTGACAGACATGTGCTTGGATCCGGAAAAATGGATCTGAGATCCGATCCCATGGATCCCGATCCGAGATCCATTCAGATCATAGATCCAACCCCTCAATTTTGTCGAGAGATCTACTGGGATCGTAGATCTGACCCTTCAATTTTGTCGCTAGATCCACTCGGATCATAGATCCGGCTCCCCAGTTTTGTCGTGAGATCCATTGGGATCATAGCTCATAGGTGCTCAAAATGTTAACAACTTTCTTTCATAAGAAGTCATGAATACCAAAGTATGGTTAGAAACAATCTTATATGTACAAAGGCCTTATTAGTAAAGGCATCCAGCTACATTATACAGAATACAAAATAAAGGAGGCTCATGACGGTCACAACTTGAGAGAATTGAGTGACATGAAGATTGTTACCAACAGAAAAGTTTGCATTAACAATTAACATACAGGTAAGTCAAAGTAATGACTAATGAACAATACATTACTAGGTACCCAGGGGCTCCGCCACGGTTTTGGGATTGAGGGGGTCCGACCCAAAACACAAAACCTCGCTGGTGGTTCCAGGGTGGGCATTTTGGGCGAATTCACCCCCCCCCCCCCTCCCGCAGCTCGAGAAATCGATAAGTTTCCGTCTTTTCTAGAGTTCAAAGAAAACTTCACAATTTTATCGGGAAAATTTTGCTTAAAACCAAAAAACCAAGGTCCAGTTTGCACAAGGAATCGAAAACCGAGAAACGGAGCCCATTGACACCGACATGGTGGCCTCTCAAATCAACGAAAGCGCAGGGCTTTAGGAGTCGTAGGGATTTGAAAACCCTGCCCTCATATAGCAGTATGGGGTCCTTAGAGACTGACATTCAGTCTGTGATTAGAGTGTGACCTAGCTTTACCTGAAAATGGATATCAAAACGCTGCACTTGAATCAAAGGTCAGGTTATGGGGATCCTGTAAGAGTTGTGACTTGTAGATGTCCTATCTCTACCAGCCTGCATTCAGAGCCCTGTGCAGATTATTGCAGATTACCTCAGAACGGTGTGAGGCTGCTTAGACTAGCATGGTGCTCGAAAAACCGGCTTGGAGCCCCCCCCCTTCCCCCAGCACTATTGGGTGACCTCACATGACTAAGAGGATGCTCAGATCGATTTGAAGCGCTTTTGGGGCGGGTATTCATGTGTCTAGGTGCCCTGCAAGCTGGACCCCTCTCACGAAATTATAGCCCAATCCTAGCATGCTTAGCTAAACTTAGCAATCTTAACCCTCGCCCGCACATGCCATTTTCCCATCCTAGAACGCACATGGGGGGGGGGGGTTGCCACCCCCCCCCCCCGCGCCATTTCGTTCCTGTTGGAGATAGAGCTTAGCGGTAAAGACCAAAAAGATTTTTTGGGAAGAGACAAATCCAATGATACCCAGTTTTACCCTCTCAGGTCAGTCATTGACCTTCCAGGTCAGGTCAAACAAAAAAATGTTGCTGTTTTGGGTCACCTTTGGATATCAAGTGCGCTGCTTAGCATATACCGATGACGATGCCGTTTTCTGGTGCCAAGCCAGCTAGAACCTCTTTGTCACACTACCCGACCAGATTTGTGCTGCTGAGGTCATTTCAGGTCAAGCTAGGTCAAGGTCAATTATATGTGTTTGTATGTCTGTGTGTGTCTGTGTGTATACTGGATGTGTGCACCGATTGTTTATGTGTCCATATTACATGAAATCATGATCTGAGAAGCTTTTACCAAAAGTACAGTCAAAAAACTTCACAAAAAGTAAATTCAGCTTGCCTAAAACGCAATTATCTTAGATGACCTAGGTTGACCTTGACCCTGACCTTGACACCTATACATCGTCGAACAACATGTTCCATGATAGGTGGGAGGTAAGACTGGCAAAAAAGGCCGAAATCAAGGTGTCAAAAGCTCACAAGGCCCATAGCAAACGCAAGATGCTGAGAATTGGCCATTTGGGTCATGACATGACCTGAAAAACAAGATCATATCTCCGAAACCAAAAATCTCAGAAACTTGAAATTTTCAGTGGACATCAAGAAAGGATAGAGGAGCAGCTATACGAAAAATCAGCCTTCTAGCTTTAAAAATGTCGAGTGCAGAGCAGAAAGACTACCTGGGGGGGGGGGGCAACCACCCCCCCCCCCCCATGTGCAGGCGAGGGTTAAACGCATTCATAGTAATAACAAAATTGAAATGGTAGAAACTCCCGTACATATAGGTCGGCGAGTGTTGAGCAATTCATGTGTGTGTCACAACATTTTAAGGGTTCCTTACATTTCTAAATTCCTTAGCCTTGCGACTGTCAACACATTCTAAATTATTCAACACATTCTGTGAATGATTTAGTCATTCTTACGCGAAAACAAGCTTATTAGTTTTCGGAATATTGGGGGGTACTGTACCCCCCAGGTAAATTATTGAGGGGGTCCGGACCCCCGCGTACCCCCCTGTGGCGGAGCCCCTGTAGGTACCTACCACATCACAATTCATGTTAGAATCTACATAATGACATTGATAAGACAATCTTGCATTAGACAACCATGAGGCTTTCCAGTTTCCAGCTAACACAATTGATTGATAAACAATAAAAGATGATACTGACACATGTGGCTTGGTTGGGTAAAGATATTTCAATCTATTGAAAGAAATATTTGATAAAATAAACTGAGATATAAGCAGAAGTATAAAAATATTCTGCGGAAGCGATGGGAAGCAAAATATCAATTGTAATGGCCTTGGATATTTACCGTAAAATGATTATTCAGTATCTAAATAGAACTCGTGACGTCATTTCAAATAACAAATGAGCTAAGCGTTCTATCTTCCAGTATAATGAAAATAAATAAAAAATCAAACTGGAAATTCAAAAGTCTGGAGTTTTTTTCAAAAGAATGTTCATTTTTTTCTACCTCACATAATTTTACGATACGATTGTTTGTGAATATCATCTTTGTAGCGTTGAATTTAATGACGTAAACGTAAGCTAAAACGGTATTATATGGCCCTGAGCCGGGTCGCGCCTTGCATCTTTATTTTATTCACTTTTCAAAAGCATCACAATATCTTACGTCATTAGGTTGAAAGGCCTATTACGGGGAATCTTTTGGAATCATTACGGTTTTAGTCAAATTAAGATTTTTCATTGGTCAAACGATAATGACGTAATAAAAAATATTACCAAAACGTGAGCTGTGAATTTCGTTTGTCTTTTTTGGGAGGCTCTCTCATAACGAAAGCACAGCATGGCACCACACATGGCACGATGCCAAAAGTAGGTAATCTGAAGAAGTTGATGCCATTTTTGAACTTGTAATTTTATTAGGAAAGTATTAGAGGTTGTTTGCTATTCTTACTAAATCGAAATTGTGTTGCACATACTAACAGCTCATACAAACATTCTGGCTTGGGATTTCATACCCATGGCAGAAGTGGATTGCTGGATTATTTTTAACAAAACTGACCTATTTGGCTTCCAGATTTGATTTCCTAACATCTGTCCATAGGCGGCGGAACAGGGGGGGGGGGGTGGCACCAGGGTACAGTGCCCCCCATAGATTTTGGCATTTTAACATTAGCCCTATGGCGTTGCTTGGAAAGAATGGGACCAAAATGAAAATCTGCAGTGCCCTGCTGCCACTGCATCTGTCTGTACTGTTTGTCCATTGAATTAAAGTGGCTGTAGCTTGTTGATAAAATTGTCATCAGTGCTGTCATGAAAAAGTTACAATTGGTCACAAAAAGTAGCAATGTGCATGTTCTTGGTTTATTTTAAATGTAGTACATATGTTGTTGATTTAAATTCAAATTTAATGCTGATACCTAATGATTACAACTGGTCTTAACCATGTCCACAAGTGACAATTCTCAATTGTATTGCACTGTAAGGTGTACAATTATGTAGGATAAGGGTTTCATTGGCTACATGTTGTCGTGAGATCCATACAGATCATAGGTCCTCCACAAATTTTTGCCCGCTGGATCCACAGAGATCATAGATCCGACCCCTAAATTTTGTCGAGAGATCCATTCGGATCATAGATCCAGCCCCTGAATTTTGTCGAGAGATCCACTCGGATCATAGATCCAACCCCTCTATTTTGTCGAGAGATCCACTGAGATCATAGATCCAGCTCTCGGATCCATGCACATGTCTGCTGATTGAGATATTTCTTGAAATTCGATCGTGCTCCTGAAAATGTTCATGGTAACGTTGTATTGAATTGTTATAAAGTGTCAACATTTCGCAATTCAGCGCGCACCGTTGGGTGCGGCATATTTCTGCACGTCACTGAAACGTCACTGAAACCTTGAAGTCCTAGTACATAGGACTTTGAACGTGATGACACATCCCTTCCAAAACTAAATAACTTCATGCATCATGTATGCTGTTAAGC